AAGAAAACCCATGAAAGTAACTACATAGGTAAATATAAAAGCCTAGTATTATCATTTTTTGTTGTAACTCCTCTTATTTCCTACATGATTTAAAGACAAATGCATCAAAAATCATAAATCTATGTTAATTAGTATACCATGTATAAAAATGTAATTTGTGACAACAACTTAAGGGGGGGACAGAGCTATGTAGATGCAAATTTTTCATATGTTAGTGAAGCTAACTTGGTGTCAATTCAAACCAGACTGTTATAAAATTAAGATGTTAAATGTAATCCCCATGGTAAGCACAAAGAAAATACCTAAAAACATACAAAAAAGAAAATGAGAAGGGATCAAAATAGTATGTCACAAAAAATCAAACACAAAGACAGTAATGGAGGAAATGAGGAACAAAGGAACAAGACATAACAGGAAACAAACAGCAAAATGGCAGAAGTCCTTCTTTAGTACTTTAAATGTGCGTGGTTTAAATTGTCCAATCAAAAGGCAGAAGGATAAATATATATCATGATCCATCTATATGTTGTCTACAAGAGACATACTTTTGATCCAAAGATACAAAATGGGTTGAAAATGAAAGGATGGAAACAGATATTCTACACAAACAGTAATCAAAAGAGAGCTAGAATGACAACTATATTAATATAGAAGATAGACTTGAAGTCAAAAACTGTTGCAAGAGACAAAGACAAGTATATATCGCTAAAAGGCTCATCTGTCAAGAAGACGTAACAATTATAAACATGTACATACAAGCATAGTGGCTAAGATACTTGCCTGCTAACCAGACGGCTGGTGGTTCAAACCCACCAGCCACTCCTCGGAAGGAAGGTTGGGCAATCCTACTTCCGTAGTGATACTGCCTCGGAAACCCAAGGAGGGGTCGCTATGAGTCGGGTTTGACTCGACGGCACATAACAACAACAACAACAACAACATACAAACTAACAGAGCACCCCGATATGAACACTGAAGAAAAATATAGACAGTTGTACAATAACAGGTGGAGATGTCAATACCACACATTCAATAATGGACAGAATATCTAAAGAACAGTTCAGTAAGGAAACAGAGGACTTGAACAATACTATAAGCCAACAAGACTTAACAGGCATGTACAGCTCACTTAGTAATAGCAGAACATTCTTCTCAAGTGCACATAGATCATTCTTTAGGACAGACCTACATGCTAGGCCACAAAATAGCCTCAATAAACTTAAGAAGACTGAAATCATACAATGTATCTTCTTTGATCACAACAGAATAAAACTAGAAATCATCAAGAAAAACTGGAAAATTCACAAATATGTGGACATTAAACAATATATTCTTATACAGCAAAGAAATCACAAAGGAAATTAGAAAACATTTAGAGATGAATGAAAATGAAACATAACATATCAAAACTTATGAGATGTAGCAAGAGTTGTGCTCAGAAGGAAATTTATAGCTGTAAAGTGAATAGTAAAAAAGATCTCAAATCAGTAACCTAACTTTTCACCTTCAAGAACTAGAAAAAGAGTAAACTAAACCCAGGGGCAAACCCCTAATTTATTGCACATAACAGACTATCAATCATAACCCCCAATGCACAAATAGCAGAAGATTAACTAGATGAGTGGGGCCTTCTAAAAATTAAATTCTCATGTGCATCAAAAGACTCCTACAAATGAATAAACCTACAGATTGGGGGGAAAATATCTGGCAATGACATATCTGAAAGGGACTTATCTCTACAATTTATAGAAAATTCCAACACCTCAACATCAAAAAGACAAACAACCCAATTAAAGAACAGGCAGAAGACATGAACAGATACCAAAAGATATTCAAGCAGCCAACAAACATATGAAGAAATGTTTGTAATCATTAGCCATTAAAAATAAACCAAACTCACTGCCATCAAGTGAATTCTGACTCATAGTGACCCCCTTTGGGTTTCTGAGGTGGTAAATCTTTACGGAAGTAGATCGCCCAGTCTTTCCCTTCCACGGAGTGGCTGGTGGGTTTGAACCACCAATCTTCTTGTTAGCATTCAAATGCCTAAGGCACTATGCCACCAGAGCTGCTTTCATTAGCCATTCAAACAAAAAACAAACTCACTGCCGTGGAATCGATCTGACTCATAGTGATCCCTCCTTGGGTTTCCAAGCAAGTATCACTCGGAAGCACATTACCCAACCTTCCTTCCAATTATTAGCTATTAGAGAGATCCAAATCAAAACAACAGTGAGATATCATTTCACCCCAGTATTAATAGCAAAGTTCAATAAGACAGAAAATAACAAATGCTGGTATGGATGTGGAGAGACTGGGACTCCCCTACACTGCTGGTAGGACTATAAAATAATATAACCACAGTGAAAATCAGTATGGAGACTCCTTAAACAATTGGAAACAGAAATACCACTTGATCCACCAAACCCAATACTAGGTACATATCCTAAAGAAGTGAGAGCCAGGACACGAATATATATATGCACATCCATGTGCATCACAGCACTATTCACAACAGCAAAGAGACCTAAAGCCTATCAACAGAGGAATGGATAACCAAACTATGGTACATACACAATGGAGTATTACGCAACACTAACGAATAATGCAGAATCTGCTAAACATCACATAATGTGGATGATCTTGGAAGACATTATACTGAGGAAAATAAGTCAATCAGAAAAGGACAAATACTGTATTAGTCCACTACTGTAAAAAGTCAAGGAAAGGTTTATCTATGGAAGGAAACTTTCTTTGTTGGTTACCAGGGATAGGAGGGAAGGAGAGGGAAAATGGCCAAATAGGTAAGCAGTTAAGTACTGACTTGGGTGAAGGGAAAGGAAATATACCAAATGTGAGTGACCAGCACAATAATACAAAGGAAAAGGAAGACACAAAGAGGTGCATAAGAGGTACAGACAACAAAGATAAACACTTTTACACATACAGCACTGCATTATCAGTTATAGATAATAAGGAGATACATAGGTAGACATTCTGAATGATCAAGTGTGTCTACGCAAAAGGGAATATACCTATGACCATGTATTTCTACAGATGTATTTGTATGTGCTGTAACAATGTCCATATAAATAGTACTAACAGAGGGCAAAGTTATAATACCTTCTTACTCATAGCCAACCACCCTGATGGAGCAAGTTGTCGGACCTGTGGACTTGGGACCATAGTTGTGAGGGACATCAAGCCCAATCAATTGGCATAATATATTACACAAAACATTGTTCTATAACCTACTATGGTGAGTAGCAACTGGGGTCTTAAAAGCCTGCAAGCGACCATCTAGATACAACATTGGTCTCTCTCTGTCTGGAGCAAAGAACAATGAAGAAAAACAAAGATTCATGGACTAGTGGACCATGTGAATCTCAGCCTATAAGATCATGACAAGAGAGGAACTAGATGGTGCCCAGCTACCACTATCAACCACTTGGAAAGGGATCATTGCAAGAGATTCTGGATACAGTGTAAGAAAAATGTGGAACAAAACTCAAAATCTTAAAAAAGACCAGGCTTACTGGTCTGACAGAGTCTGGTGAAACTCCCAAGACTACAGCCCTGAGACATCCTTCAGGCCTGGAATTGAACTCACTCCTCTGGTTTCCAGCCAAACAAGAGACAGGAATAGAGGATGAACATTTACACTAGGTAGATACACTCTTCAGAACGATCAATCATGGGGGATCACAAGGATAGTAGTTGCACAGAAAGATAGCTCAGGGGACAGGAATGCATAGGAAGGACATAGGAAAGCCGTAACTACAAGGAAGAAGAGGGAAGGGACCTGTTACATTGTGGGGATTGCAGTCAATGTCATGAAAGAAAATGTGTATGAACTACTTCATGGAAAATGAATTTGCTCTGTAAACTTTCACCCAAATCACAGTAAAAAACAAACAAACAAAAAAAAAGAGTAAACTAAACCCAAAGCTAGCAGAAGGAAGAAAATAACAAATTAGAGCATAGGTAAGTGGAGATAAATGAAACAGAGAAAATAAACTAAACCAAAAAAGTTGGTTCTTCAAAAATATTATCAGAAGTAATAAACTTTATTGTTGTTGTTATATGCTGTCGTGTCGGACCCGACTCATAGTGACCCCTCCTTGGGTTTCTGAGGCGGTATCACTACGGAAGTAGATTGCCCATCTTCCTTCTGAGGAGTGGCCGGTGGGTTTGAACCACCAGCCTTCTGGTTAGCAGTCAAGTGCCTTAGGCACTATGCTACCAGAACTCCTGGTTCAACATTAGGGGAAAAAAAAAAAAAAATCAACGAAATACATCACATTAATAGAACAAATGAGAAAAACCCTCATGATTTTCTCAACTGATACAGAAAAAGCATTTGACAAAAATCTAACACTCTTTCATGATAAAAACACTCAGCAAACTAGGAATAGAAGGAAATTTCCTCAACACAATAAAGGCATTTATTGAAGAAAAGCAAAACAAAACAAAATCCACAAAGCTGCTATCATAGTCAACACAAAAAACCAGAAGGCTTTTCCCTTAAGATCAGGAACAAGACAAGAATGTCATGTTGTATGTTTCCAGAATCAACACACAAATAACAATGCATTTATGTTGCAGATCATAAACTGATTTTATCCCACTATTTCATTTGATCCTCACTATAAATCTGTGATTTTTCAGAACAAGTACTATCTTCTTTGAAGCAAGGAAGAACCTGATGCTCAGATATGTTAAAATGATCTGCCTAGAGTCACACAGTTCATGGCAGAACTAGGACTTGAATCCAGATCTCTTGATTACCAGTCCAGTGTTTTTTCTACTAACGCCATATATATCTATAGTTGTTAACTCATCATTCTCTTGTATCTGTTGGGATTCAAGAACATCAATCTACTCGCAAATATCTCTTGAAAATTTATTACTACAAACTTAAAGGCTGATGTAAAATTTGATGTTTTATCTTTACAAATTATAAAATTGTTAACTCAGGGCCAATTTCCTATAAAATTTACCTTCACATCAAAGGATGGCTTGAAGAGTTTGTCTTTGGACAGAAATTTTGATGGTGTATCCAGATGCAATGAGGGCTCCTTCTGGAGTGGCTGTTCTATGGTTGGGGAGACTGACACCTGTCCAGTGTGTTGTGAGATCACAGCACGGAAAGCTTTACTCTGAAACTGGTTCATATCTAAAGGTGTAACAGCTGTTTTCTTGTGTGTTTCCAGCTGTGTCTCAGGATGCTCTGGTGTACTTGGATTTAGATTCATTGCATTTGTTACTTCAGTTTCCAAGCTTTGCTCTAGGGATTTAAAATGAAAAGAAACAATCCATGAGCCACTATTGTCCTCTTTTTTCCTCCTAAGAGATATGTAAGAATCTATTTTTTAAAAATCTTCTTACTAATTTACAAGTTAATTCTCAGGTATATTTTAAATCACAAAATTATATACCTTCTCTGTAAGAAGCAAACCAGATGGTGCATTAAAATATATGCTGACTTAGACAAGCACATTACTGGAACAAGTAATTAATGAAAATGGATTCGTGCTACTTCCTTTTGTTATATCTTGTAATACTCTCAGAATTTGCCAAAAATTATGTAAAAATTATATACCATGTCGATACCATGTCAATGGTAGAGTAAAAAGGAAACCACAATCACATGTACTTAGCGTTAACAAACACAGTCTGAAAATACAGGTCAGTCAAGTTTGGAAAGTCCTTAACTAAACTTTAATATAACCTAACCATCACTTCTGCACCTGTCATAAAACTTCCAGTGTGTCTGGTAAATATGTAATGGTCACCCAATAACATAATGCCCAACAGTGGCTGGCTCATTGGACCAAAAGTACTGCACCCAAACTGAAAAGCAGAAATGAATAACCTTTCCTAAAAGTAAGCATTAACACATTCCCTCTTCAGAAACTATCAAGTTGTAAAAATACAGTTGACCCTTCAACAACACAGGTTTGAACCACATGGATCCACTTAAATGTAGACTTTTTCATTGACTGGTACTACATAGAAACATATTTAAGAGAAATGAAAAAGCAAAAAGGTCAGACAGAAATTAGATGTATTTCTGTAAATTTATATTGAATGTGCCTAACTCTCCTGCCTCCACTTCTACCTCCGTCACCCGAGACAGCATGTCTTTTGCCTCCTCCTCAGCCTACTGAAGACAATCAGGATGAAGGAAGATCTTTAATGAGTAGTAAATAATCATCATGATGTACAGTTTACAAACTTATCTGTTGTGTACGTGTGTATCCTTGTGTGAAAACCTAGTAACTCTATGGCAAGAACTGTGTTAACTGTTTATGTTACCAGCAAGGCTTCTAGCTAGCAGAAGGCTAACAGTAGTTAAGTTTTTGGAGAGTCCAAAGTTATATGTGGATTTTCGACTGTGCTGGGGGTTGGCATCCCTAACCATTGTATTGTTCAAGGGTCAACTGTACATATAAAAGAACAACATAAAATCATTAACCTTCTTCAGGAGGATCTTCTATCAGAAAATGGCTTTCATCTGCTTTCTTTCCCATTCTAGCAGTCTGCAAAAGCCAAGCTACATTGACTGCTGGTAAGTTCCACTTCTTTGCAGCTTCAAATTTAGAACCACCTGGTTCTTTCAATATAAGATGTGTACTGGCAAACATGCCTTTCTTTGGATTGGATTTGCGAACAAAGAATTCTTGAACGCTGAAATTTGTATTAAAGGAAAGCAAAGAGTCATATACACAATTAGTAAACTAAAGTTTCTAACATAAGAGTGTGGCTACTGTTCATGCAAATATAAGAAAATATGCATTGATTTATTATTTCTTAAATTAAGCTAATTTCCTTCAAAATGCCTACTCTAGGATTTAACTATATTGCTACAATTACATTTTATAAATACATAAGCAAATTAAAGTAGGCTTTTAAAGAACACATAGAAAAATTACCTCCTTAATTAGTCATCACCCACCTACTTTGTCCTTTCCTCCCAAAGAGAGGCATGGGACAATCAGGGGAACAAAAATAGTAATAAATAACAACACTTTATCTCTCAGCCCACTATAATTTCTCAAAGCATTTTCACAGATAATCATCCTTTGGCATCTGCAGGTGATTGGTTCCAACCCCCTTTCCCCCCATACCAATCTGCCGATGCTCAAGTCCTTTATATAAATGGCATAGTATTGTGTATAAGCTATGCACATCCTTCCTTATAATCACCTCTAGATTGCTTATAGGAGCTCTGGTGGTTCAAACCCATCAGCCACTCCTCAGAAGGATGACTGGGCAATCTACTTCCTTAGAGATACTGCCTTGGAAACCCAAGGAGGGGTCACTATGTGTCCTGACCGACTCTGTGGAAGTAAGTGAGATTACTTATGATACCTAACACAATGTAAATGCTATGTAAATAGCATTTTATGCTCCCTCTTAGCCTTTTAAGGGATTGCTCTGACCACTTAATCACTTTTTTATTTCTCCGAATATTTTCAACATGCAGCTGGATGAATCTGCAGATGTGGAACCTGTGGATAAGGAGGGCCAACTATAAACTCATTTGATCCTCTCAGTATTTAAGTACCAGTATTTTAAAGACATGGAAAAAGTTACAGATAGATTAAATGACTTGCTCAACCTTGCAGCATATGAAACTCAGAATAAAGAAGTCTATCACTTGAAATATAAACAGAATTCATTTTCTTTTATGACTTACTGATGCATTTCCTGTCCCAAATTTGCAATGAATCATTTCCTCAAACTTTAGCTTCTTTTTAGTGGGAAATAATATTCTAAGTAATAATCTGGACACTGGGGTTGCTTGTGCTATTGGGTTGATAACTATTTCAAGGCTTACATATTGTTTTGATTTCCTCTTTCAACCAAGAGTTATTAAAAAAAAAGTTCTAAAATTTTCAGTTGATAAGAGTTTCTCATTTTGATTTTACTATTAATTCCTAGGGCTTTTTGTACTGTGATCAGAGAAAATGGCCTGTACACTCTCTCTACTTCTGGGAATGTACTGAAGTTTCCTTTCTGGTCAAGTTTTAGACAACTTATAGGAGTGTGCCACTGGTTCCTGAAAAGATATGCACACTGTTTTAGGGTAGATATCTAATTAATTACATCCTTCCTTATTCTCTGTCAATTTGATCTGTCATGAAGCAAAAAAGATGAGAGTCAAAGTCTCCTACAATGATTCTGTTGATTACTTCTTGTAACTCCAGTTGTTTCTGTTCTATGATGGATACTCTTATTAGGTACATAGACATTGTATCTTCAGCAATGAAGATATCTTTATCTTCATTTCAAATGTTCTTATCTTTCTTGTTCAATACTTTATATGAATTCAAATTTGTCTGATGTTAAAATTGCAACCCTTCTTTCAGTTTGCAGTTTATCTTTACTCCCATTTAATCTCCCCATCCCCCTAAAAACTTTCTGAATCACTTTACTCTAGGTATGTCTCTTGTTTAAAAGCATAAAGTTAGTTTTTGCTCAATGATCTCATTTAAAAGTTTGTCTTTTAATGTGAAAGTTTAGCTCATTTACATTTATCGATATAACAATTGTTCACCTATAGGTTGGGCCCATACGGATTTTGGAAGCAACTTTTAAATTCATTTTTCATCACTCCTACTTTGCATTTCTGCCTGAAAACCAGAGAAACAATGGATGTATACTGAGAAAGAATAAATCATCCATATAGCACATGGACAAGAATAATGCTTAGGCAAGTTATATGCAATAATGGTTCATGAATCAGTATTACTTATTTCCTTTATTGATGAGTAAACCAATTAAACATTAATGCATACAGTCCTAAAATTTTATCAGGCATTTACCTAGTAGCATTTCCCCTTTGCCACTTTAAACCATCACACAGGCATACCACACACTATCCAAAAATATAATAAGGACACCTAGTCAAATTCTAGGAGCTCTGGTAGCATAATGCCTAAGGCACCTGACTGCTAACCAGAAGGCTGGTGGTTCAAACTCACCAGTCACTCCTCAGAAGGGAGGTTGGGCAATCTACATCTGTAGTGATACCGCCTCAGAAACCTAAGGAGGGGTTGCTATGAGTCGGGTCTGACTCGATGGCACATAACAACACAACAACAGTCAAAATCTAATTTGAATGCTCTCCAATAAGTCAAAACAAAATGATACACTAATCTCCCATGACTGATTGTTCTAAGGAATGTATCTACATAGTGTCAATGTTCACCTTACATGCCTGTCTACTGCTTGGCTGGACGCCATTGGAGTGAGTTCAATTCCAGGCCTGAAGGGTCACTAGGGGCCATAGTCTCGGGGGTTTCATCAGTCTTTACCAGATCAGTAAGCCTGGTCTTTTTATGATTTTGAGTTTTGTTCCATATATTTCTCCCATTCTATCCAGAATCTCCTGCAGTGATCCCTTTCTGAATGGCTGACTGTGGTAGCCAGGCACTATCTAGTTCTTCTAGTCTCAGCATCATGCAGGTTGAGGTTCACATGGTCTACTAGTCCCCTGGACTAACTGTTTCCATGCACCTTTGGTTTTCTTCATTCGTCTCTGCTCCAAATAAAGAGAGACCAATTATTGCATCTTAGATGGCCGTTTATGAGCTTTTAAGACCCTACTCATTACTCACTGAAGTAGGATGTAGAACAGTGTTTCTGTGTGGTTGTTGTTGTATAGTATATTACGCCAATTGAGCTCGCTGTCCCCCACGAAAATGGTCCCGAACCCACAGGGCCAACAACTCGCTCCCTCAGGGTGGTTGGCTATGGCTAAGAAGTCACTACAACATTGCCCCATTCTATTTATATGGACATTCTTATAGTCATATAAATACCTATGTAGAAATAGTATCTGCCAAGCATGTATGTTCATGGGTATATTTCCTTTTGCCTAGACATACCTGATCATTCAGCCTGTCTACCTATTTATCTGTTGTGTTGTGTTATTGTTATGTGCTGTCGAGTCAGACCTGACTCACAGTGACCCCTCCTTGGGTTTCCAAGGCAGTATCACTATGGAAGTAGATTGCCCAACCTTCCTTCCAAGGAGTGGCTAGTGGGTTTGAACTGCCAGCCTTCTGGTTAACAGTCAAGTGCCTCAGGCACTACACTATCAGAGCGGCTACCTATGTATCCAGCAGTAGATTAATATTTGTTATAACTGATAATGCAGTACTGTGTATGTAAAATGTGCTAATCTTTGTTGTCTGTACCTCTTGTGCATCTCTCTGCGCCTTCCTTTACCTTAGTGTTATTGTGTTGGTCACTCTATTTGGTATAATGCCTTTCCCTTCACCCAAATCAGTACTTGTCTCTTACCTATCTAGCAATCTGAAGGGCAGTATTTGCACAGGGAAATAGCTCAGAGGGCAGGAACACATAGGAAAGAAGGACGCAGGAAAAAGGTAACTACAGGGAGGAAGTGGGAAGAGAGCTGTTACATTATGGGGATTACAATCAATGTCATGAAACAAAATGTGTAAGAACTGCTATATGGACAATGACTTTGCTCTGTAAATTTTCACCCAAATCACAATAAAAAAACAGAAGCAAAAATTAAAAAGATACACTAAGCAAATGCACTAAAAACATTATATACCTTGCTCCAAGGTGATTTGCTAAGAATGTTAAAGACTCTTTTTCTGCTCCAGCACACTGGCTGAACGAAATAACACAATCTTCTAAAGGAGTTGTTCCTGTCTGTATTGGGACTGGAGTGAAGAGGGGATTTGACTTTGGATCAACTAAAGTCTGGAAGTCTATACAAGTAACCTTTAAAAACAAGAAAAACATTATCAACTTGAAATACACAATTCGAGATTAATATTGGTTCAGTTACAGTAAGAGTGGTTTTAACTGAGATGAAAAACATTTTATGTAACAGAAACTTGTATATGTTTATTCTTAATATATTTCAAATTATAATATTCAAGTAAATACGTATAAATTCATTGTATTAAGACACTAAAATATTTCAGATTTATCATTTATTTATCATTGAATACTGCTTTATATTTAATTTTGGCCATGGTATTAGTTTGTAATTTTTTTCTCTTCATTCTTATAAAAGGTCAATAGTGAAATCACCAGTAGCAAGCTACAAAGAGATAACACAAAAGAGCATGTCCTGTTCTGACTGTAAGAAAACAAAGAAAAGTGAATTAATATGAGATGAGCAGGAGTGACCTTCAAAGGAATGGTGCTCTGGTGGCCCCAAGGAACAATAACCTCTACCATTCTAGAATTAGGACCATGATACTTGTACATATTCATATTTTAGATTTTTTCTTGCTAAAAGTAAAATCAAGGTAGTATCTAAACACAAATACCAATTTACCTGAGTTGAAATGCCTAAGAAAGAAACATCAACACTTTGGGCATTCAACTGCTGCAATGTTTTCTTACCAGCCATGTATTTGTAACAACTTCGCTTACAGTTGCTTCTACTTCACACCCCAGAAGAGGAACCACTGCATAATCAGCAACAGGTCTGCTCTGAAGGGACACGATTTTTCCAGCATTTTCTCTTATGATGTTTTTAATATTAGATTCATTTTCATTACTAAAACCCAAAACAAGGAAACTCTTTTGGCTAAATAAGCCTTCTTCAGTAATTATAGAAGTATCGTCAGGGAGGCAACGACTGACAGAAGGCTGGTTTTCTTCTTGCAGAGAAATATGAGTAGAATCGTTAAAAGGTCCAACTTCAGATTTCTCAGTCTCAGACTGTTTAGCTTCAACTGGAAAAGAAAAAAATAAATGTTTTATAGTAACAGATAACTTATTTCTTAGCAAGGATATTAATGTAACTTGGATTCTACAAATTGTGGCCACACTTAAAAATTCAAGGCTTTAAATGTACAAAATGAAGAAAAAATTGTGAACCCACCCTACCTTCTGGGCTACCAAGTATTACCATCTTCCATGAAGCAGAACAACAGCAATCATGTTACTGTTCTAAGTATTTCTAGTTTACTAGAAACCATCCAAAAACCAAACTCAATGCCGTCAAGTTGACTTTGACTGACAGCAATCCCTCCTTGGGTTTCCAAGGCAGCATCACTATGTTAGTAGATTACCCAATCTTCTTTCTGAGGAGTGGGTTTTGAACCTCCAGCCTTCTGGTTAGCAGTTAAGTGCCTCAGCACTACGCCACCATCAGTAGTTGCAATAATTAAAGTTTCAATGCACCTGTCTCAGTACCATAAGAACTGACAATATACCATTAAGGAAAAACACAAGTAACAGGTCTATGTAGTGTAACTGTCAAGCCCTAAAATTTGTATGGAAATAACCATATAAATTCAATCATGTTGTTGTTGTTATGTGCCATCGAGTTGACCCTGACATTTAGTGACCCCTCCTTGGGTTGCTGAGGCATTATCACTATGGAAGTAGATTGCCCAACCTTCCTTCCGAGGAGTGGCTGGTGGGTTTGAACTGCCAGAATTCAATCATAAGAGAATTATGATTACTTCTATTTTTTAAATAATGTGATAGCCTAATATTCCTAAATGTTCACAATGAAACTAGAGCTACTTAGTTTCTATATAGATTCTTACAGATAACTTACCAAGGATCTAAGCAAATGGTCTCAACTATTTCATTTTATGATAAACTTGCCTGACAAATGAGAGCAGAAGAAAAATGTATCACCATGTAAACTATAATTGTCATTAACCAAAATACATAGTCCTAATAAATACTAAACACTTGTCAAACCAAGGTGAAAAGCACAAGAAATAAAAATTTAGTAGTTTTATAAACTGTGTGGTCTAAGTTGGAGGTAACAGTTTATGGCAGAGGTCTACAAACTATAGCCTCTGGGCCAAATCTAGCCTACAACTGTTTTTGTAAGGTCTATGCATTAAGATTGTTTTTTACACTTTAAATAATTTTTCTAGAAAAACACACAAAATAGAATATATGACAAGCAATAGGATGTGACGAGCAAAACCTAAAATATTTACTACCTGGCCCTTTATAGAAAAAGCTTGTTTTATGGGATTCCAACAAGGCTAGAAGCTATTCAAGGTTTCATTCATTCATTTATAAGAGCCTTCTTGAGTACTTTCCTGTGTCAGGCACTGTGGCTAAATGCTCAAATGCATTCACCTATTGTAATGCTCACAATACTATAGGTTGATACAATGTATATTACTTTTCCCAAGAGGAATCCATGGTTTAGAGAGGTTATATAACTTGCCTAAAGCCAGGCAGTTACTAAGTGTCAGAAGGGAGATAAAAACCAAGGTCTGACTCCAAAGTCCAAATACACAGTCACAGTGCCATCTTCTTACCTCTACCATCAACTCCAATACACATTTCGAGTTTTAGACTAATTACTAATATTACTAATTACTAATATGTATATTAGGAACTTAGACTCCTACTTAATATGAATATTTAGATTGCTTTTAACAATACTCTGAGGAAGCAGTTTTCTTTAGAGCATAGACTGCTCAATAAGTCAAGAGAGTTAGATCCTAGTTCTGTAATCTCTTTGGCTCTCAGTGTCTCACTATAAGGAATAAGTACACTTACAGAGTTATTAGGAGGATGAATAAGCTTAGATGAAAAGAAAGATGATGTACTACTACATAATCTACCTGTAAAGTTTGTTTTTTTAAACACTTATTCTCCATATAAAATATAAAACACAAGCAACAAAAGTCCCTCACATTATTTTACAATCACATTTAGAGGGGGGAAAAAAACAACCCAGCTTTATTTGCTGTGTACACATTTTTGGTGATATAGGAAACCAGAAGAAATCCTGTGGAATTTTAGACTACTACTATGAAATACACAAACTAGAAATACTAAGTTCTTATAATCTGTAAGTAAAATCCTTAAATTATTAAGAGACTCAATACATTAACATGTTTTAGAACTGTTCTTTCACTATAGGAGCAGAATCCCTTTTTCAAACATATCTCATTCAGAAGCCCAATAACAGACCCACCCTGACAAACCTATCACTGAAAAAGCTCTCTCAAGTCAAAATCAATTTTGCTTTAAGAAATATTTGTAAAATACTTTACAACTTTCTATAGTGTTTGAGGATCCACTGAGATTTATTACCACTTAATCTTTACAAAGTCAACTGACCTCTAGCTGCCTTAGAAACTAAGAAGGTTTGAGAAATTCATCACTTATCCCTCCAGCAAGTATCCTTGCTAAGGATGGTAGATAAAACTGCTCCCAACAATGCATTTGTGTTTTCTTTACACCAGAACTTCCTAGAAAATTAGGATGATTTCCTGATGTGATAAAATACAAAAGCATAAGCAAATGGTTTGACAAAAGACAATTCTGCAGCACAACACAAAGAGTGTAAAGGAATGCTGGGAATTCCGTTTTGAGAAATATGGTAGGCTAGACATTTGAAACATTCTCACTAGAAAGCACCTTAAGATATAGAATAACATTAAAAGCATCCTTATAAATGCATGGCTGAGTTTGTAAGAAAGCCAGGTAAATCCTTAAAGGCTCATAAAACTAAAGTAGCAGAACTACTCTAAAACATTAAGTGGTTACCCAACCCTATTTGCCAGTAACTTAGACCCTTGTGATTTAAGGGCACTGCATGGAAGGACATGAGTCAGGCCTTTCATCTCACACAAATTAGAGTTGGAACAGAGTACTCCCTGAATAAACAAATCCAGGATCCCTGAAGGGAAACAACCAAAGAACAAGAAAATTCACTCTGAAAAGGGAGATAAGAATTTGTCACCCTAGAATTGTCCTCAAGTAGGTTAGGATACAAATTTATACCAGCCTGATGGTCCAAAAAAAATGTCAGTCAATAAACTAATTTAAAGGTGTTCCGAGTTGGTAAACTCCTAGGCACCTGGCAGACCTAAACATGAACCTTCTCTGGAAGAAGAAATTCATACCCTACATTTCTTAGAATTCCCAGAGTCCTAACAAATATATTGATAGTACACTATCAATATCTATTACGCTGACAACAGATTTTAAGTGAAAAGCTCATTAGGAAAATGAGGGTCACCATATTATAAAACTTCAGCAAGTATACATAACTAAATCTGGCAGAACTACACGGAGAAAATGACACAGCCATCAACACAGTGGAGGAACTTTGAGCACATCTCTCTTAATAATCCACAGATTGAGCAGACAAAACTTAATTTTATGTATACATATACACCCCTCCAAACAAACAGAGGATACATTTTTCTCAGGCACACAAGAACATTCATGAAAGCCATCTCTTAAATATCTCATTATTGTTTTTATATGCCCTCAAGTCGAACCTGACTCACAGCGACCCCTCCTTGGGTTTCCAAGGCAGTATCACTATGGAAGTAGATTGCCCAACCTTCCTTCTGAGGAGTGGCTGGTGGGTTTGAACCGCCAGCCTTCTAGTTAGCAGTCAAATGCCTTAGGCACTACGCTACCAGAGCGCCCCTTAAATATCTCAGAGACTGAAAAACGTATAACAAAGCTAGGAAATACTTATGATTAAACAATTACAAAAATGCTGCAGATCTTGTGATATATAACTAACTAAATTAGTACTTTCAAGGGAACCTACAGACATAAACATCGAGACAAGAAGAAAGGCTACACAATAATAAACAGATCATGTAACTTAAGAATTAGTGGGAAAAAAAAAAAAAAGATGATCGATTAATGAAATTTAAAAAATTCATCCAATGCTCTTGTTATTCCAAACTTAAACGTAAGTTAATCAATGCCCGGATATAAAACAGATCAAAGCAGAGCTGTTTTGCTAAAGAGAAGAGTAGGGGTTAGATGGTTCAAAGGCTTGCCAGCTCAGAAAAAAAGCTAATGGAATTTTAAGGGAATAAAAGGTAGTTTAATTTCAAATATGGTAAACCTGGGAGAAACAATATATGTACATACTTGGCTACCAAAGTATTTCTCTGTAACTGCAAATACTAATCAATTATTTCTTACCTACTGTTGAGTTATTATTTACATATTGGGAGAGCAGATCTTCATCAGCTTGCTGATGCTTTTCATCAGGTATAAAGTCTTGCTTAGAAAAGCTGCTGTTATTCTTTTTTAAAATAGTTGTTTTATTTTCAGGTTGATCTGAAACTGGAATTTCCACTGGCTTGTAGTTAGCATGGATATATGGCTCTTCAGGAAGCATATAGCCTTTACTAAAACACTCTAGCAACCACTTTGCTCCCACTACGTGAGGCCTACAAAAATAGTACATAGTTACATATTAGTTTAAGCTATAAAGACCAAAATCCCACTTACCATGCATTTTCCAGAATTACATGAATATGCAATTTTAAGAAAAATCATTATACAGTAAAAATTGCTTTGAATTAAAAACTGACAAAACCTGTGGGCTGATTTATTCCAAAATTGCTTCAATTCATCATCATAATCTCCCACAATAACATGAGTTACATCTTCGTTGAGCTGATTGAAACGAACTCCACCTCCACTGTTAATAAGCCTCCGCAGTTTATCTAGCTTTCTGCCACTAAAACCGCAAAGATATATCTACAAAGAAAGAAAATACAGACTTTAGATTAATATATTTAAGATGCTTCATTTCTCTCAATAGTCACACATTTAATTAAAAAAAAAAAACTCTAAATTGATTGTGTGTTACACAACTTTGAGTACTTTTAAGATATAGGAAGAAGTGGAAAGTGTATTTTGAAAGTCGGATTTTTTTCCTTTTTTTTTTTTTTGCAACCTCATAGGCCATTAACTTTCACAGCAGATATGTGGTTAAGTATTTCGTAGCTTTAAATAGAACACAAGGCAGAATCTAATATTTTCTGAATATTAAAAACGCCCTGCTGTCAAGTCAGATCCGACTCATAGTGACCCCTCCTTGGGGTTTCCGAGGTGATATCACTTATGGAAGTAGATTGTCCAACCTTTCTTCTGAGGAGTGGCTGGTGGGTTTGAACCGCCAGCCTTCTAGTTAGCAGTCAAATGCCTTAGGCACTACGCCACCAGAGCTCCCTTTCTGAATATTAGTGCATAGCAATTTCTAAAATGAAGGTTGCTTCTTAAAATAACTTACTACTTAGGAATTTTAAAGTGATTATACAAATAAACTACTTTACTGAATTCAGAAAACCTAAGTTCAAATCGTGGCTCAGCTACCAGTGATTAGCCATATGACTATAACCAAGTTACTAAAAATTACAAATCTTTTCACTTTTATTTTACAAAAGGTATCTTTAAAACAATTCATAAGAAATCTATCCCTAACTTCATTTATATCCCAAACTAAATCAGCTCCACTGACAGAATATATTTTAACAGAAAAATTACATATTTCATGTGAAAGAAAAATAATTAAAAGTCGTATCTAGAATTAGTATTAAAAAAGACCAAACTCACTGCCATCAAGTCGATTTCAATTCATAGCGAACCCCACTGGGTTTCCAAGGCTGTAAATCTTTACGGAAGCAGACTGCCTCATCTTTCTTTCGTAGAGTAGCTGGTGGGTTCAAACCACCAACCTTCTGGTTAGCAGCCAATTGTCTTAACCACTATACCACCCAGAGCTCCTTTAGAATTAGTACAGTCTAGCAAAAAAGATTAAGCAAGACACTTTCTGTGTTGATAAGAAGTTGATAAGTTTTCACAGTACAGAAAGGTAAGGTCATTTGTCCAATTTCCTTTTTTAACAATAAAATAGGGTTAAAAACTAGCTACCCTGTGCAAAACTGATGCACAGACTATTAATTTTAAAAAGAGTTATATGAAGCAATGTGTGAAGTATTCTAGATGTGAAAAAGTACAGCATATGGCAAAGGGAAGAAAGGGTAAACCAAGAACTAGAAGGTAAACATATATTAAACTTGGGCGAAGAGGAAGGTAATATACCATAAGCGGGAGGTCAGCACAAAATGTTCAAGCAAAGGGAACCACTGGGAGGAAAACAAAAGTTAAAGGCAACAGAGGTCAAAACTAATTCTTACCCAATCCAGTAATAACATCAATCAATAATCCACAAGTGGATACAGACGTGCAAACTCAACAGATGTGGGAAGGAGCGTGGAACTATACCCATAAATATATATAAGTTTAGAGAATATTTCTACATGTATATTTATATATGCAGCAAATATATCTATGAACATAGAAGAGTATACAGTGAGCAAAGTTAAGAAAACTTCATAGCTATTACAAAAATCCTAAGGGAGTGAGTTGTTGGGCCTGGGGACTCAGGAGACAGTCTCAGATATCAAGGTCAATTGGCACAACACAGTCCACAAAGACAATGATCTACATCCTACTTTGGTGAGTAGCAACTGGGATCTTAAAAGCTTGAGAGTGGCCATCTAAGGTGCCACTACTAGTCTTTCCCCTTCTAGAGCAAAAATGAATGAACCTCAGCCTCTACGACCTTGAGAACAGAAGAACTAGTGGCACCTAGCTAACATTACCAACAGCTCTGAAAGGGATCACATTAGAATAAAAGGTCCAGGATAGAGTGGGGGGAAAATGTGCTTATTGGTCAGAGAGAAAGTGGTGGAATCCCCAAGACTATGGCTCTTGGTCACACTGAACTCACTCTCATAGCTGAAATTTTCAGTCAAACAACAGGTAGGTCTACAAGGTAAGCAAAACTCTAGGAAGGTATACACTCCTTAGACCAATCAATCATTTGAGAACAAAAGGGCAGCATTTGTCCAAGGATACAGTTCAGAAGGCAGGAAGGGTTAGGAGAGAAGGAGGAATGGGAAAGAAAGTGGAGTCAGTTATGTTACATTGAAGGCACTGTAAGCAATGCCATTAAACAAAATGTGTATGAAATGTTGAAGAGAAAATTGATTTGCTCTGTAAACTTTTACCCAAATCACAATAAAAAGTTAAGGAAAAAAAGTGTAGCATATAATGTTTCCATCAAGATTAACTTACAATATTAATTAACTTACTGATACATTAAAAAATTAAATAACCCAAGAGATACTGAACAAAGCAGTGGGCCAAATGATCAGGAATATAGGCTTTGGCGTGATATCTGTGTGACCTTGAACAAGAATTTCTTCCTCTAAGTCTCAGCCTCGGCATACCATCCAGTTTAGAGTTATTTGTGAGAACTAAATGAGATCAAATACAACATACTAACCTAATATAATGAAATGATTATCACAGCATGTAGCACATTTTAAGTACTAAATGATATTAGAAATAAATAGAAATCCATAAGTGGGTCAGAAGCTAAATGTTCTTAAAGCACAGTGGATGGAAAGATTGATGTAGGCGGGAGGGTTCAAAGAGATGAAAATGGAAATGAACTTCGAAGGATGGCAAATGAAAGTACATCCCAGGGAAAGAGACCCTGACAGTCAAAGAATGACTATATCTAGTGAGTGTGTCTGCTTAGGCGTATTCAGATATAGAGCAAGCCCAACTATAAAGAGCCTTTAAAGTTAGGCTACAAAATATTCATGTATGTTATTACTTACTGTATTTACCACATTATAAAAATGTACATACCCGGCAGCCATCTAATAAATCTTCAGGTACTTGAAATGCACTGACATCCAGATTTTCTAGATTTTCAAATGTAGGCTCTAATTTGCTATTAAGAACCGAATTACATATGGATTCATTTACGCAACTTGCAGTGATGTTAGAAATGTGGCTGACATCTGAAAGAGTACGACCTACATAATAAACAAAGATACAGGCACATCTCGTTTTATTGTGCTTCACAGATAACGCAGTTTTTACAAATTGAAGGATTGTGGCAACCCTGAATTGAACAAGTCCATCGGTGCCATTTTTCCAACAGCATGCGCTCACTTGTGTCTCTGTGTCACATTCTGGTAATTCTCACAATGTTTCAAACTTTTTTTTCATAATGCTATTGCACACTTAATAGATTACTGTATACTGTAAATGTAACTTTTATATGTACTGAGAAACAAAAAAATGCTGTGGTTCACTTTATTACAACATTTGCTTTATTGCAGTGGTGTGGAACCCAACCTGCAATGTCTTCACAGTATGCCTGTATACAGGTTTGTTGTTATGTGCCGTCGAGTCAAACCCGACTCATAGCGACCCCTCCTTGGGTTTCCGAGGCAGTATCACTACGGAAGTAGGACTGCCCAACCTTCCTTCCGAGGAGTGGCTGGTGGGTTTGAACCGCCAGCCGTCTGGTTAGCAGGCAAGTGTCTTAGCCACTATGCTACCAGAGTATATAGGTTTAGAAGATAAAATAATCGTGATTGTATATTTTCCAATGATTAAATTTTGTTTCAAACAAAAAGGCTATGAACAATTTCCAAAGATTTAAATGCTTTTATTGAAATCTTAATGGCAAAGTATGAAAAGGGAAAATGGAACTAAAAAATTAAAGTCATATCTCATTTAAAGGAAAATATATTTAATAAACTTTCTTAACAGTGCCTTGTTTCCCACAATATTCTAAAGTTCTTGGCTTTAAAGTCCACAAAGCTAACATTTGAAAAAAAATTTACATTGTTATCAAACTGCCAACTTATAAAACATTACATTTATAAAATAGAAAATATTTTAAATTTAATACAAATACAGATGCTCTGTAACAACTGAAAAAAACTAAAACAAATACAGAAAAATTGTTCTGCACATCAATAAATCTTTAAAAATTAGTTTAAGTCTCTACCATTAATATTCCTAATTGGACTATCTCTTACATTACATCAGAGTGTGAAAAGATGTAGTAATTCATTCTAAAAAGAAATATGAAGAACAGGTTTTTTTTTTTTAAATACAATTATATAATGTAGCTGTTTTCTTACTGAATAATAATAAACAATATGTAAGCATAGAAAAAACAGATCAAACGCCTTATAATATCTCAGTGACCCTATTAACATACCAATTCTTATACAGAAAATAGACTGTCTTAAATATGACTATTTACTTTAATCCCAAAAGAGACTTACTATCAAATGTGTTGACCTGGCCAGTAGGAGTTGAAGTATCAGGCATAGTCTTTATTTCTGGTTTAGGCTGTGTCTTGTATATAGATTCATCCTGACAAAAACCTTTCTCAACACTGTCAAAAAACCACTGCGTAGTCACACAATGAACATTCCATTTCTTGGCACATTCATATTTCTGACCTATCATAGTCATTAGAAAGAGAGAGAGTCAGAGTGACAGAGGCAGAAAATGTAGATCATTAACATCTTTGAAGAAATATTCAAACCATGATTAAAAAAAAAAAAACCCATTGCTATCGAGTCAATTCCAACTCATAGAGACCCCCAATGGGTTACTGAGGCTGTAAATCTTTATAGAAGTAGATTGCCCAGTCTTGCTTCTGCAAAGTGGCTGGTGGGTTTGAACCACCAACCTACTGGTTAGCAGTCAGATGCCTTAGGTACTGTGCTACCAGAGCTCCACAAATACATACTTCACTTTACGGGTAGCATCTTAGTTGTTTAAGAAATTACATGAAAAGCAACTTACATATAACATTTGATAATTCTGATAATAATAGAAAAATACTAAAGGAAAGTTTTTTAGTTAAACATGGGAAGGGTTACCTACACAAATTAATACACCTAAAGTTAATGGTTTGTGTAGATTATATCAACTTCCATGGAAGTCAGAAATTGGCGATGTGACCAGTATTAGGTCAATTTGCTGAAATACCCACAAAATTAAAATCCTAAGGTTTTTATACCAAGGAAACAAGTTCCACAAAGCTCCTGTTTATACATAAATAATACCAGTAACTGTTTTCATGTGTCTTTGCTGTAAAGACATTCTGCAAAACTTCAGATTTTGTATTAACAGATGTAGCACATTTCATCTACAAATGTACAAAATGTTCTATTTTTGAAGTATAAGAAATCATTATTTCTTCCTTTTCCCTAAATTCTCTAATGGATTTGTTATTTTCACCTGCAGATTTTGACTGGTTCTTGTTACACTATTCCTAAGTGTTTATATATAATCAATTAACCAACAGGAAAAAGAAGAAATATAAGTAATCTATAATTAAGAACCAGAAAGGAAACCTTAAAGGAAATGAGAAAATTCATAATCAACATAGTGCTGTTAGCTACTGAAATAGCTAGTTCTTACATTAAAAGTAATAATATAATCATTAGATTTTAAATGAGTTTAGATAATGTAACTCCAGGAAGTTTCTATTGATAGATTTAACAAAGTTATAAATACCATAACTAGAAGTGTCTGAAATTCGAGCTGTAATTAAAAAAAAATCCCAGTAATCTCAAGCAACAGTTTTGTACATTACTAGATGAAATCTGCTACGTCTATTAATATCAAATCTGAAGTTTTTCAAACTATGAGAGAGTATTAAAAAAGTTCACCCAAAAGAAATTACAGTTATCAGTAATTAGCACTACATTTGAAGAGTAGCTACAGTATGTATTAAAAAAAAGGTATTTTAGGTTATTATAACCCAACAATACTTTTCTGTTTAACAGAGTTTATTTTTTATACAAACACTATAGGGAGACAGAAGCAAACTATGGGATAACTGAAATAATACTGGACTTCGTTTGAGTAGAGGCCCTACCATTTAAATTCTTTAAATTCACAATTTCTTAAACTGTAAAATGGGAATAATGCATAGCATCATGACGTAGTCTTAATAAGAATACATAAAACTAAGATTTTATATGCAAAATAATACCAGCTTTGAAGAGACTACTCCACTGTCAATAGGATTCCACTCAAAATCCAGGATAGATAGGTAAATACATACATAAACTGTATCAAGAATATGCACATATTTTTTTACCTGAAACAATCTGAATGTAATGTATTTGGAACAGTAGTACAGAGAAATCAAGGTCAATATGTAATAAGCAGTAACAAAAAAGTCGTTGGGTTTTTGTTTGTTTGTTTGAATCTTTCTTGAGAGCAGAGAAGAAAATCAGCAGCTGTATGAACTCCACTCACAATTATCCTTCGGCCATATCCAAAATTCTAACTTAGAATTAACTTTAACAAATTTTTCTCTAATTTTCTCTCTCATTGAGGTAACTTATTAAAGCATAATACAGATAAAAAAGACACAATAAAAATACTGACAAAACTCTTAATGTATGTATTTTCAAGAGTATCAGTGAAAATATTCTTTAGAATAGATACAAAGGTTAAAGAACAACAAAATAGCAAGTTTTAGGAATTATTCTATTGGTAATTTTCTTTTAGCTACCTCATGTTTTCCAGATGTACCTTCAAATTAGTTGCCCTGGTAGTGCAGTGGTTAAAGCGCTCAGCTGTGAAACAAAAGGTCCACAGTCTGAACCTATCAGTAGCTCCATGTGTGAACAATGTGGCAGTCTGTTTCCACAAAGATTTACAGCCTTGGAAACCCTACAGGGCAGTTCTACTCTATCTTATAGCATTGCTATGAGTCGGAACTGACTCAATGGCAGTGGGTTTTGTTTTTATCTTCAATTTAAAACTTCTAGTTCATTCAATCAAGCTAGTTCATTCACTTCAAAACTAAAGCAAGCCTTTCAAATTTATCATTAGAAAGAAATGTAACTTAGCTACATCTTTTTAGCTTTCTGGTTGTTCATTAAAAATCTTCCCTATATATCTAATAGTTAAGGGAGAGATACTATTTTAAAATCAAAAGATCTGACAATAAACAGAGAAAATACCACAGAAAGTTTTGGGGTTTATATTTATTATATTCAATAACCCAGATAAATACCAAGATAACAATATAATTTTCCTAGCGTTTGTGAACCAAACTATCTCTATACCATTTTAAGGGGAAAAAATATTAAATTAGCTTAACAACACAGCAGAAGCAAAAGGTGTTCTGTGAGATTTTTAAACGACAAATGCTAGAAAAAGTTTGAGTTTATCCATCTAAGAAACACAGCTTTACCTTTTGGTTCTTGCACAATGAGGTGTGTACATTCATTCATTTTCAGTTGTCCCACATATTGACCTCCGTGCTTAACTGTGAGTTGCTGAACTGCCTTTCGGTCAATGCTACACAAGCCAGTCACACAGATGATACAACCAAGAAAAATAGGACACTTAAAGTCTTCCATGTTTATATCAGTGTATCTTTCTATTTTTCTGGGAAAAACAAATGGCAGAAAGAAACATCAATGTACTACATAAAAAATACATCAGATAGTTTTAAATTTACCATAATAATAATAATAAATGAAGTTATGACAGAAAGAATATCAGTACTGCTTTCCTCATATTTTGAGATTTATAATCATTTTTGCTTAAGAAAAAGAAAGCTGACAAACACATGTGTATTTAAACTAATTGCTTACCTAGCCCAATACCATCTCACTAGTATAAAGTAAAATTTCAGGTATGTTGTTGTTGTTGTTATGTGCTGTCGAGTCAGATCCGACTCATAGCGACCCCTCCTTGGGTTGCCAAGGCAGTATCACTACGGAAGTAGATTGCCCGACCTTCCTTCCGAGGAGCAGCTGGTGGGTTTGGACTGCCAGCCTTCTGGTTAGCAGTCAAGTGCCTTAGGCACTATGCTACCAGAGCTCCTAAATTTCAGGTATAGTCTCTCAAATAATATCATTTGAAGAGGAAATACGTATTTCATTAACCTAAGTCCATGCTGGTCAAACCGGTATAGTTTCCAAAGTTCTAAGCCTGAATCTACTTGGAAATACAAAGATTTTTCAGTTGTCTCCTAGATAAATGGACTTTTTAGGATCTATTATATGATATTAAATACTAAACAATGATTTTGGCAGAATACCAACAAAAATACCATTATCATTCAATTGCCATGATACACAGACATGCTAAGTCTGAGTAGTTGGGTTAAGTGTACGTGCTGATATAGTTAGGCTGGGAATAAGGTACAAACATGGACACATGTTTCGGATGTGCTGTTCTATACAGTGTTAAAAACAAGCAAAGCGATGTTAATTTCTGATAAAAATGACTTTATCACAAAAACCACCACAAGAGACAAGGAAGGACATTATATAATGATTGAAGGATTGACTGAACAACGGACATAACCATAGTAAATATCTCTGCACCCAGTGAAAGACCCCCAAAATACATAAATCAGTCTTCAACAGAATTAAAAAGACAAATAGATGACTCTACAGTAATAATAAACTTTAATAAATTACTTTTAATGAAAGATAGAACAAATGGAAAGAAACTCAACAAGGAAACAGAACTAAACAACACAATCAACCAACTTGACCTTAAAGACATCTAGAGTACTTCACCCAACAATAGCACAATATACATTCTCTTCTAGCCCACATGGAACATTCTCCAGGATAGACCATTATGTTAGGCCACAAAGCTAGCCTCAATAAGTTTAAAAATACTGAAACACTGCAAAGCATCTTCTCAACTCACAATGCTATAAAATTAGGTATCAGAAATAGGAAGATCAATGGAAAAAAAGCAAATATATGGAAACTGAATAATATCGTCCTTAAAAACGACTACGTGATGAAAGAAATAAAACATGAAACAAAAAAAATCCCTTGAATCAAATGAGAATGAAAACAAAACATACCAAAATCTTCGGAATACAGCAAAAGCAGTGATCAGAGGCCAGTATACAGCAATAAATGCACACATCAAAAAAGAAGAAGAAAAAAAGAAGACCTAAAATCAACACCTTAACCCACCATCTCCAACAATTAGAAAAAGAGCAGCAAAAACAAAACAAAAACCCAAGCCTACAGTCACCAGAAGAAGTAAAGATTTGAGCAAAGAGAAATGAAACAAAATAGAAACACAGTAGAAAAAATCAAGACTAGAAGATGGTTTTTTGAAAAGATTAATAAAACTGACAAACCACTGGCGAATATAACAAAAGAAAAGAGAGAGAATACAAACAACATAAATAAGAGATGAACTGAGGGATGTCACAACAGAACCAACTGAAATAAAAAGCATAATATCAGGATATTATGAAGAACTATACTCCAACCAAATTGAAAATCTCGAAGAAATGGACATACTATTTACCTAAACTAACATAGACTGAGGTGCAAAATTTAAACAGACCCACAACAAAGAAAGAAATTGAACAGGTCATTAAAAAAAAAAATTACTGTTAAAAGGCAAGGAGGCCACATCTCCTGACCTCTTCTAACCCCACAAAAGGAAGACAGAATCACTATCAGTAACCCAAGGCCTATTCCTGCAAGGCCAGACATGCTGCCTACCTCCAGCCCTTTCTCCAACCGTGAGTTGGTGAGTACCCACCACCTCTCTCCTGGGTTTGGTAATTTGCTGCAGTGGCCACGCAGAACTCACAGATTACAGGGTTTATTAGGGAAGCACCAGGCTACAATTCAAGTTCAGGAAAAACGCAGTCTCTCTCCCAGCCCACCGTCTCTCAGTCAACAGTCTCTTACACTGTTTCTCCCAGCATTGCATGTTCCTCGGTGTCTCACTCCTCAAAGCATGTTTCTTGCGTCTCTTTCCCAGCAGTGCGTGTCTCTCAGGAGCGCGTGTCTCTTTCAGTGGCACATCTTCCTCAACCAGCAGTCAGAGAGACCTCTGCCTCTAGGACACCTCCTTTTGAGCCTGGCAGAGTGGCCAAACTAGCCAATCATAAGATCAGAATTCTAAGCACCTGAGAGCAAACTTCCCAGAACATTGCTTCAGTGCCACTCCCAACAGAAATACCCCAGGTGGATAACTTTTATAATCAGGAGCTCCTCAGCTGCTCACAGCAAATTCCACCATAGAGTTTACAAAGACTTATGGCTAGAAAAGCCATATCAGGTTTTACTACACTGCAAATACCAACCAAAAAAAGGCCTGGTCCAGATGGTTACACTGGAAAATTCTACCAAATATTCAAAGAATTGACAACTGTCTACACAATCCTACTCAAACTATTCCAGACACAGAAAAAGAGGGCATCCTCCCAAATTCATTTTATGAAGCAAGCATAACCCTGATGTCAAAACCAGGTAAAGACATCACCCAAATGGAAAACTACAGACCCATATCTCTCATAAATACAGACACAAAATTCTTCAACAAAATCGTAACCAATAGACTCCAATAATATATTGAAAAAATAATAATACACCATGACTATGTGGGGTTCATACCAGGTATGCACATTAGAAAAACAACATTAGAAAACATTAGAAAAACAATTAACATAATACATCATATAAGTAAAATAAAGGAAAAGAACCACATGATCATATCGATCGATGCAGAAAAGGCATCTGATAAAAGCCAACACCCATTCCTGATAAAAACTCTTAGCAAAACAGAATAGAAGGGAAATCCCTCAATGTAACAAAGGGTATATATACACAAGCAAAAGCCAACACTATTCTCAATAGAGAGAGACTGAAACCATTCCCCTTGCAAATGGGAACTAGACAAAGATGCCCTCTATCACCACTTCTATTAAACACTGTATTAGACTTCCTAGGCAGGACAATAAGGCAAAAAAGGGAAATCAAAGGCATCCAAATTGGCAAAGAAGAAGAAAAACTGTCGCTATTTGCTGATGATCCTATACAAAGAACACCCAAGAGACTCAGCAATAAAACTACTGAAACTAACAGATGTAGCATAGTGGCAGGATACAAGATTAACATAACAAAAATCAGTTGGATACCTCCACACCAGCAAAAAGATTACTGAAAAGGAAATAAGGATATCAATACCATTTACGATTAAAAAACAACAACAACAACAAAAACCCCAACTCACTACCGTCAAGTCGATTCTGACTCATAGCGACCCCTCCTTGGGTTTCTGAGTCAGTATCACTATGGAAGTAGATTGCCCAACCTTCCTTCCAAGGAGTGGCTGGTGGGTTTGAACCGCCAACCTTCTGGTTAGCAGTCAAATGCCTTAGGCACTGCATCATTTATGATAGCTACCAAAAAAATAAAACACTTGGGAATAAGTCTTACCAGGGACACAAAAGACCTGTACAAAGAAAACTATAAAAGACTACTTCAAGGTTCCAGTAAGATGGCAGAACAGGCAGAAAGACTGCACAGACCCTCTTCAACAAAGAAAAGGGGAACCAATTAACACAGACACAGAAGATAATCCTGGACCCCTGAGCCTTTAAGGGAAGGATATAGAAGTGGACTAAATCCCAAGTAGCAGAAGAATTTGCATGAAAATACCAAAAAAGGAGACATACAGAGCTACGGTCTGGCAGCAATACTGAGGGCACAGCACAGAAAGCTTGGAGATTGCCAAGTGGTGGCAAGACCTAAGAATTAACCTAAAAATCAGACCTGCTAGCCATGGACTGCACAGAGGACTGCTCTGGTGGCTAGGGAATAAAAGGCAAAGCAGTAGCGAAAAGGAAGGCGGGCTGAGCTCTGGACTTTTGCCTGTCTGGAGGGCACAGCCATTTAGAATGTTTACAAGCGGCTTGACCATTTTGGATATTTAAAGAGACAGTGCTGTCCTAGATTCCAGGGGCTTAAGAACAGGTTTTGCTTGCCAGTAACCCCAAAGACACTCCGGACCTGGACGACTGAAAAGCTGTGACATTCCCCTTGTTATCTTATACCCCACACCCCTTGGTGAATGGAGGTTCAGCCATCCCCGACTCCCACGCACCTTCTGGGCCCACAGGAACTCCATATCCATCTGTGTGCTTGGACAGAGCCTGGGTGCCCTGTCCTGCCCTCCCCATATTTTTTTCTTTCTTTTTTCTGGTTTTTAGTTTGCTTGTTTTCGTCTGTTTTAAAACTACTACTATTATTAATACTTTTGTCTTTTTTACTATTCTTCCCCTACAAGGTCTTAGTTTTCAGCTTTTTTTCTTTTCCCTGTTCCTGGTTTCAAAAATTTTTTCTTCTTTTTGTCTCATGGTTAACCCTGTTTATTTTTTCTTTTTCCTATTTTTTTTTTCTTCATTATTCTCCTTCTCTACCTTTTTTCTTTTATTGCCCTGTCCCCAGATATTACAGGTTTTCTTGTTTTTCTTTTCTTCTTTTTCCCTTTTTTCTTTTTTTGGTTACTGTTCTTGTGTGATTACATGGTGTATTTTTTGTCCATATGCTTTTAGTTTTGTGATGGTTATTCAATTGTAATTTTTGTCTAACTGAGTGGGAGACAGCAAC